AAAGCACAACCGTGCCTCTCGCGGAAGCAAAACCGTGACTCTCCCGAAAAAAAAAACGCGTTTTGTTTTTCCCTTTCCGAGAGGCACGGCCGTGACTCTCGCGAAAGTACAACCGTGCCTCTCGCGGAAGCAAAACCGTGACTCTCGCGAAAGAAAGAAAAAAAACAGAAAACGCGTTTTTTTTTCATTTCCGAAAGGCACAGCCGTGACTCTTGCTAAAGCACAACCGTGCCTCTCGCGAAAGAAAACCGTGACTTTCGCGAAAGGAAAAAAAAACGCGTTTTTTCGCGCAAAAAAATCGAAATTTTTTTCTGATCGAAAAGCTAAGAAAGACCGGGGGAAAACCAAAACGTCGAAAAAAACTGGAAAAAAACGTTTAAAAAGCCGAAAACACGTGCGGAAAAATAAAAAAACAAAATCCGAAGGGAGCGTCCAAAGCGCGACACGTGGCAAATGGCTGAGAGCGCGCCAAGTGGCGCTGATCGTTGCGAGGCTCCCGAAGGAGCGCTCGTTAACTAGTTGCTCCCACTTATTTTCCTACGCACACAGCTGGCAGAACCCTATTTACCGCACAGAGCGTCAAATACCCAAAGTTTCACACAAGTCGCCTAATACTGGGCCCGCCAATTTTCGCTTTATCCTGTATTCTGTCTTTTTTTCCTTTCTTTTTCTTTTTCTTTCCTAATTATTTTTACGTTTTACCCTTCAAAGTTTAATTTCGTTTTTTTTATGATAGGTTTAAAAAATTGTTTGAAATTTCAAAAAATGTTCATGTTTCAAAGAATATACGCAAATTCATTCTTTGTTTTATTATAGGTTTAAAAAATTAAAATATGTTTCAAATCTGATGCTGCATTATGTTCTTACATATCCGCGCTTGCCATTGTTCAATAGAACGTGTTTGTTCAACTAGCTAGCAGCATGTCATCGAGTCTTTGATTTATGTGCTGCAATTAGTAATACATTTGGTTACGCTGTGATAGGAGACGCCGACCAACCCCACTACTATCAAGATCTCATCGGCCAAACATGACCCACGAGAAGACCGCAGCTCCTAGCTCTGTCGGCCACCGCTACGGAGACTATTTTCGGAGGACACATCATTTCTCTCCCGTTGCTTGTCGTAATAAATATCTCCCGTTGCAACGCACGGGCATATGCGCTAGTTACTCTTAAAGAAATAATAGCACTTATCCTTGGCCCTTTTAGGCATGGTCTTGTCCCAATGCTCAGGTATCATAATATCTGCAACTGGAAGTCATCCTCCACTGTTCAGAAATTTCCTCAAACTAAAGCAGATTCTTTTAATTATACAGACAATTGAAACAAACCAAGCAGCATAAAAGATTTGAAACATCAGTAACATAGCTCTTAAATAACTGGTAGAGGCCCAATTTGTTACAATTTTTAGGCAGGGTCCCAATTTATTACTACTGCTAGACCTCTACCGACACTTCATAACATGTATTGTGTCAGCGACCCAGTTGCTGCTACTACACCAAGCGCCCAGAATGCTGCCATGGCAGCCAACCAAGCAGCTAACAGCGCTGCCATGGCAGCCAACCTAACTGCATCCACCAATCAGGGCGAGGGGCGCGTCATCGGTCGTCCACGTCGGATCGTGCAGCCCAATCGCAAGTATGTGGGCCCCGCGTGGACCAACACTACTTAAGGAAGGGAAGGCCAAGGGAAGAGACATCCGGGCTTGGATCAGGAACACGGCACGACACGGCATCCACCTACTTTCCCCTTTCTTCTTTCTCTGCAAGCTGTAATCGAGAGAGACTCGTGTGTATCCCCAAATCTGTAGTTGTGTATGAGAAATACCATGAGCATGATCTAGATCCTAACATCGTGGTATCAGAGACCAACCACCACCCTCCCGCCGTCCCTCCGCCACACCACAGTTCATCAACGTCAAATCTGGAGACCCGTCGTCAACACCAATCTCGCGCCGCGCTCATCTCAAGGATGGATCCCGAACTGCGCGCATACCTCGATCGGTTGGACTCCAACGCCAACGAACGCGCGGCCGCCGCCGAGACCAAGTCCAACGAACGCCGCCGCCGCAGACGCCAAGACCAACTCCATCCTCAAGGCGCTCGATGCACAAACCGAGCGGATCGACGCTCTGGCCGCCTGGAGACCAGAGCTTGAAGCCCGCTTCGCTAAGCTGGAGCTCTCCGTCGCCGCGTTGCAGGCTGCGTCACCTGCGGCCCCGGCCTCTCCTGGTGGAACGCCGTCGCCGCCACCCCTCTTCACGGCGCCCGGCGAATTCCACTGGCAAACTAGCCACGGCGTGACGCATCTTCCCGAAGGATCCCCGTAGGTGACCAGGGAGTCACCGGCGGCCCCTCCGGTCACGGGTACGGTCGCCATCCCCCCTACCTTATCTGCACCGATCCTCACAGCCATGGGTCACCAACCGCCGACCATGTCGTTTCCTGTTTTTTCCGGCGACAATCCTCAGCTGTGGCGGACACTTTGCGAGCAATACTTCACCATGTTCGCTGTCCATGAATCCTATTGGGTTTCAATGGCCGTTCTGCACTTCTCCGGCACTGCAGCCATCTGGTCACAGTCCGTTCAGAAATGCATCAGTAACATGGGGTGGGAGCAATTTACAACTCTGCTTTCCACTCGATTTGGCTGAGACAAGCGCCAGATGCTGCTTAGGCAATTTTACGCTATTAAACAACATACCTCTGTTGCTGATTTCATTGAGCGTTTTGAGACTCTGATGCATCACCTGATTTCATACTCTGAACTAACTCACCCGTACTTCTTTTTGACGCGATTTGTGGAGGGCCTTCGACCGGATATTCGGGCGGTGGTCCTGCTCCAACGCCCTCCTGATCTCGACACCGCATGCTCGCTGGCCCTGCTTCAGGAGGAAGTGGCCGACGGCGAGGCTCTCCTTCAGAGCAGCAAAGGGAAGATGTAGTCATTCAGTTCTCAATACAAGGCCACACCAAGCCCAATTCCTGCTCAACCATATTTCAGTCGTCCACCCGCACCCACAGTAATTGCAGAGGATCGACGAGGTACTGATGCAGCCAGAGCAACGGGTGATAACAGTAAGATCAGCACACTCAGGGCCTTTAGGCATGCTCGTGGCCTTTGTTTTAAGTGTGGAGAAAGGTGGGGTAAGGATCATACTTGTCCGAACACCGTTCAAATCCATGTGGTTGAAGAACTATTGGACATGATCACAAATACAGAAGGCAGTGACAATTCCGTCCCAATTTCACCAGAGAGTAATGAAGACAATTTATGTACACTGTTTCGCCAAGCAATTGATGGATCCTCCGACCCCAATGTGATGCAGATTCAGGCTTGGCTCCAGGACAGAAAGATGCTTCTGTTAGTTGATTCTGGAAGTTCCTCTTCATTTGTGGACACTCGAGTTGCGGCTAAGTTACAAGGCCAAACTGCACTTCCAAAACCATGCAGAGTTAAAGTGGCTGATGGGGCAATTATTCAGTGCAATCAGTACATTCCTCGTTGTGCTTGGTTTACACAGGGCCATGAATTTTGTACTGATTTTAAGATCATTTCTCTGGGGGCTTATGACGCCATCCTTGGCATGGACTGTCTCAGAAAACACAGCCCAATGAAGGTTGATTGGGAAGCCCAACACCTGTCTGTAACAACACCCACAGGAGCTGTAGAGATCCAGGGAATTCCTGCTGTACAACAACAATGTTCAGTCATCTCTGCTTCTGAACTTCTAAAAACTTGCAAGCAAGGTTCAGTTGCCTATGTGGTTCACTTGGCTACCTTATCTAAAGAAGGTGTTGCCGACACTCCAATCCCCACTGACATTCTCCGTGTTCTGGAGCAGTTCACAGATGTGTTCGAGGAACCAACTTCACTACCTCCAAGAAGGGCTTGCGACCATCGGATACCACTCATCACAGGGGCTCAACCGGTTAACTTGAGACCTTACCGATACAAACCAGAGCTCAAAACGGAGATTGAGCGACAGGTTCAGGAACTACTAGACGCCGGCATTATTCAGAGAAGCAACAGTCCATTTTCCTCTCCAGCTTTGCTCGCTAAGAAGAAGGATGGTTCCTGGCGTCTCTGTGTGGATTACCGCTGCCTCAATTCCATGACGGTTGTGAGCAAATACCCAGTTCCGGTAATAGATGAGCTCCTTGATGAACTTCGAGGGGCGCAATGGTTCTCAAAATTAGATCTGCGTGCTGGCTATCATCAGATCCGTTTAGCCGAAGGGGGAGAGTATAAAACAGCTTTCCAAACACACTCGGGCCATTGGGAATACCGTGTCATGCCGTTTGGGGTTGCTGCAGGACCAGCAACCTTCAATGGGGCCATGAACATTACTCTCAAGTCAGTGAACAGAGTATGTGTTGTGAACTTCTTCGACGACATCTTGGTTTTTAGTAAAACTCTCCGCGAGCACAAGCAACACCTCACTCAAGTTCTGCAATTGCTCCGTGCTGATCAGTGGAAGGTGAAGCAATCCAAGTGTTCTTTCGGCCAACAACAGATCACTTACCTCGGACATATGATCAGTGCAAAAGGTGTCGCAACTGATCCCAGCAAGATCCGCACGATCGAAAAGTGGCCAACACCTACATCCGCAAAAGAAGTCTGGAGTTTCCTCGGGCTAGCAGGATATTACCACAAATTTGTCAAACATTTTGGTATCATAGCTCGCCCACTATTCAACCTACTCAAGAAGAACCAACCCTTCCTCTAGACATCTGAAACTAACACTGCTTTTCATCTGTTACAACAAAGTTTGATTTCTACTCCGGTGCTTCAGTTACCAGACTTCTCGCAACCATTCATGATTGACACGGATGCCTGTGACTATGGAGTAGGGGCGGTCTTACACCAAGGAGGTCACCCCATAGCTTACATGAGCAAACCATTAGGCCCCAAAAACCGTGGCCTCTCGATTTATGAAAAAGAATGTCATGCTATACTGATGGCTGTCGAACAGTGGCGACCATACCTGCAGACAACGGATTTCACTGTCAAAACAGATCAACACAGCTTAGTTCACTTGGATGATCAACGTTTATCTACTCCTTGGCAGCAAAAGGCATTCACTAAACTACTCGGTTTGCGGTACAAAATCTGCTATCGACCGGGGACAACCAACAGTGCTGTTGATGCTCTATCACGCCGTGGACACCCTGAAGTTCAACTAACCGCAATTTCTGAATGCAAACTTGCTTGGTTAGAGGATGTCGTCGCCAGTTACACCAACAACATTCAAGTTCAGAAGATCTTTGCCAAATTAGCAAACCAACCAGATCCCAAGCAACGGTTCTTTGTCCAGAACGGCTTGCTTTATTTCCGGAACAGACTGTGGCTTGGTGGAGGTCCTGAACTTCAACAGAAAATCATGCGTGCGTTTCATGATAGCACGGTGGACGGCCATTCAGGTTTTCCAGCAACATACCGCCGTTTGCGCCATCTCTTTGCTTGGCCCAAGATGAAGGAGCAAACCCGCCGCTATGTCCAAACTTGCTGCATTTGTCAACAAGCAAAACCTGAGCGCGTCAAGTATCCCGGGTTGTTGGAGCCTTTACCAGTACCGGAAGGAGCTTGGGAGGTCGTAACTATGGATTTCATCACGGATTACCTCAATCCCACAAATACAACTGCATCCTCGTGGTGGTGGACAAATTCACCCGATATACACATTTTCTTCCTCTCAGCCATCCTTTCACTGCGGCCAAAGTTGCTCACTCCTACCTTGACAATGTCTACAAGCTTCATGGACTACCTGCAACAATTGTCTCCGATCGAGACCCTGTCTTCACCAGCAAATTCTGGAAAGAACTTTTCCGCGTCATTGGAACTGAACTAAATATGAGTACACCTTATCACCCCCAGACCGACGGGCAGACTGAACGAGTCAATCAATGCTTAGAGATCTACCTCCGGTGTTTCATCCACGCCTGTCCAAGCAAGTGGAGTCAATACTTAGCACTTGCAGAATTTTGGTACATTTCGAGTTATCATTCCGCCCTAAAAACATCACCATTTGCTGCTCTTTACGGCCACGAGCCTCGCCACTGGGGCATTGTTGCAGCCTCAACATGCAAAATTCCTGAACTCAAGGAATGGCTCGAGGAGCGCAAGATCATCCAGCAGGTTCTGAAACAACACCTTCACCGTGCACGCAACATCATGAAAGTTCAGGCTGACAGGAAACGCACTGACAGAACTTTCCAGCCAGGTGACTTAGTGTTCATCAAACTTCAACCGTATGTGCAAACCTCGGTCCAACGTCGAGCTAATCACAAACTGGCCTTCCGGTTCTTTGGATCCTTCAAGGTGCTGGCGGCCATCAATCCTGTTGCCTATAAACTGGAGCTACCAGCAGACTCAAAGGTGCACCTTGTATTTCACGTCTCTCGGCTTCGGCTAGCTCTTACCCCAGGCACAACAGCTTCATCGACTCTGCCACAACCCTCCGACATCGAGCTCACTCCAGTGGAGATCCTCACACGTCGCTGGCGCAAGACCCCTTCCGGTCGACGCGAACAACTACTGGTCCGCTGGTCTGATCCGGCCATCCTTGATGCCACCTGGGAATATGTTGTAGCACTGAAGGAGCGCTACCCTGATATTCCGGCTTGGGGGCAAGCCGAGACTCAAGAAGGGGGAGATGTCAGCGACCCAGTTGCTGCTACTACACCAAGCGCCCAGAATGCTGCCATGGCAGCCAACCCAACTGCATCCACCAATCAGGGCGAGGGGCGCGTCATCGGTCGTCCACGTCGGATCGTGCAGCCCAATCGCAAGTATGTGGGCCCCGCGTGGACCAACGCTACTTAAGGAAGGGAAGGCCAGGGGAGGAGACATCCGGGCTTGGATCAGGAACACGGCACGACACGGCATCCACCTACTTTCCCCTTTCTTCTTTCTCTGCAAGCTGTAATCGAGAGAGAGACTCGTGTGTATCCCCAAATCTGAAGCTGTGTATGAGAAATACCATGAGCATGATCTAGATCCTAACATATTGGTTGTTGCCACGGTCCTTTAAGAAATTTGATGTTTGTTTAAGCTTGTGCTTCTAGGAGCATAGAAGCACCAAAAGCTAAAGCTCCAACCCAAACAAAGAGGGCCTTAATTATTTCAGTGGAATAGAGGAAATTAACTAGCAGGTTAAAAGGGGTAAAGAATCGAAAGAGAAATGGACCTGCAGAAGCTCAGAGAGGTCGTCCTCAATGACGACGAAGCCCCCGCCGGCGACAGCCTCCGGGGCGCAGCGGGCGGTTCCGGCCCAGGCTCTGTGCGGCCGCCTGACGGGTGGCGGGGGTATGAGACTTGGGGTGGGTAGGAGGAAGATGAGGATTCGAGCGGGAGACGGGATCATGTTGTACAAACAACGGGCAACCGGAGAGCGCCGGCAGCGGCGGCGGTGACTGAGGCGAGGAAGGTGCGGTGTTCGTTACTTCTGCTGGATAATGGAGGCTTCGCGCGGTTTTGGTCGCTTATTATGTACTCCTATCTATATTTCGGGAAAATTTTAATAGCACATGTCTGTTAATCTTTCTAGCCCAAAACGAATGTCACGTAGAGCTACAGACTGAGCATATAAGTGTTGTTGTTTTTGCCGGATGAGCATTTTTTATTTTTTTCAAAAAAAACTTTCGATCTATTTATCTTCGATCATAGCAGTATAACGAACGCTAGAAATAATAAAAAATATATTCAGATCCGTCGACCACCTAGCGACTATTACAAGCACTGAAGCGAGCTGAAAGCGCGCCGCCGTCATCATCCCTCCCTTGCGGGAGTCAGGCATAACTTATTCTAGTAGACAGTCTGAAAATCGTCATGCTAAAATTTCATAGGACCAGCGCACCAGAACAACAACCATCGCCGATGAAAAGAATGTAGATTAAAAGGATCCAACCCAAAGACACAAAAATATAGACGAACAACAAACAGATCCGAGCAAATCCATCGAGGATAGATCCGCGGGGGGGCACACCTCCATCGGCCCACCAACAATGCTAGACGCATCATCGAAAATGAGGGCTAGGCGGGAAGATTTTTATTCCATCTTCAAGGAGTTGCCGCCGTCTCCTCTTCCTGAGCAGGACACAAATCCTAACAAAACACGAAGGAACGACTAACAACAAAACCATCCTGCCGCCCCTTGCCAGGATCCACCGCGTTAGGGTCACTGGAGACGAGGCGGACCTACAGTGACGCTAGCGAGAGGCATATGAACCTTGGCTTTGTTTTGGAGGAGAAGGTGATTCAGTTGCGAGATGATATAAGTGTTAATAAAACTAATAACTAATACTGGTACACGGTGTTTTTGGACTTTTTTTAGTACCGGTGTTTTTGGACTTTTTTTAGTACGGGTGTTTTTGGACTTGAGCACACATGTAGCACATTGTGCTCGCTGTCTGGGCGGTTCAGCATGTCTTAGGGATTCGGTGCATTAAATTTCCGTGTCAGGCTGTTGTTCATTAGTAAAAGAGGAAATCCGCAAATACGGTAGAGGTGTATGGTGTATATGTGGGACAAGTCCTGTGAGGAGAGGTGAGCGCCGTAATCGGAAGAAAAAAAATAAGAGCCGTGGCTCATGACGCCAGTCCCGTCCTGATCCCTAGACCAGGAAACAGATTAGAGGTGAGGTGTTCCCGGTGGCGAAAAGCAGCCAGAGGTGAGATGCGGAACGATGGAAGCAGCCGGCGGCAGGGGCGAACCAGTGGGGAAATCGGTCGTCTGACGACGTGAGGACAACTAGCCGCGACGCGCTGACAGGACCAGAGTATAGACTGTCACCGAAATTCAGAAAACAGAGGAAAATCACTCAATTTGGTGGGGAATTTGTGGATCAATTGCGGATGGATCTGAGCCACAAAACTAGGGTTCGCCAGCCGGAACACGATGGCTTTAAGGGCCAAGCCCAATTACATCCAAAATGCCCTCTCCACAAGCCGGATGAGGGTTTAAAAAGGCTTGAGCAGTTGAAAAGTGAGACAGCAACATGTTCAGCTAGCTACAAAGTTGCGGTAAATTCAAAAGTAAGGTTACATCCACCAGAGTCGTTCATCTAGAGATCTACGGTTGATGACGGGCGACTTGAGCGCGAATCGTTACGCCCTCCAGCTGCCGTAGGATCGTCGATCGGCGGTTGAGGTGCGCTTGGACACACGAAACGGTACTGTTATGATTCTAACCGTTGTCGAGAAGCTTCTATCCTGACAATTCCCCCTGTTGAGAGCAGACTTGCCCTCAAGGCTGGAAACCCGAAAAAACTTTCTGGATAAAAGCGGCGTCTTCGCAAGTAGCTTTGTTGGCAATTGGTCCATTTGACCAGCCATTGTACCACCGATATGCTTATATCTCCTTGAACTTTGGGTATCGGTTTTCATTGCATAACAGCTTCAGGTTGGATGAGAATATGACCCTCTTCATCCAAAAGTGGTAGTTTTGGGTTGGGTACTGCATCAAAACCAAGGTGTTTCTTGAGTTGACTGATGTGGATGGTGGGGTGCAGTTTACACTCAGGAGGAAGAAGTAGCTTGTATGCCACTGATCCAATCTTCTCCAGAACCTTGAAATGACCATAGTATTTTGAGTTTAGTTTCAAGTGCATGTGGATGCTTAGGCTGGTGTGTCTGTATGGCTGCAACTTGGCATAAACCATATCACCAACTTCTAGCTGTTTATCAGATCTTTTTCTGTCAGCAAAGTATTTCATCCTCTCTTGGGCCTTCAACAAGTTCTCTTTTGATCTACTGAGCAATTTCATCTCTGTCCAGTTTAGCTTGTGTGTCATCACCTTTAGGTGGAGGCAGCATGCGCTCAGTCATGAAAGGAGCTGGTTTGGCATACAGTGCCCGGAAGGGTGTCATGTTGAGGGAGGTGTGGAAGCTGGTGTTATACCACCACTCAGCCATTGACATCCGCTTATGCCACTTCCTTGAATGTGCAAAAGCCATGCATCTCAGATAATTTTCAAGGCATTGATTCACACATTCTGTTTGGTCGTCAGTGTGAGGATGATAGGAGGTACTAAGGTGTAGTTTCACTCCCATTTTCGTGAAAAACTTCTGCCACAACCGACTTGTAAAAATCCTGTCTCTGTCAGTCACAATGACAGTAGGAAGTCCATGCAGTTTGAAGATGTTGTCAGTGAAGGCCTGTGCTACTACCCTCACAGTGATTGGGTGTTTGAGGGCAATAAAATGGGCATACTTAGTGAACCTATCAACCACCACTAGTATGAGATCTTTGTTTTCATACACAGGCAGTCCTTTCACAAAATCCATGGATATATGTGTCCAAGCAAAATTAGGAACAAGGAGAGGTTGTAATAGCCCAGGAGAAGGAGAGTGATGAGCTTTGTTGATTTGACACACAGGGCATTGCTTCACAAAGGATTTCACTGTTGCCTCATGCCAGGCCAGGTAAAAAGGATTTTCAGTCTATGGTTAGTAGCTCTCTCTCTCCTGAGTGTCCTCCCAATTCTAAAGTGTGAAAGGCTTGTAACAGAGATGCCCTCAATTCAGTGTTGTCTCCAATTAGTATTTTCCCTTTATACCTTAGCACCCCACTGGTTAGAGTGTAGGGGGTGTCCTTAGGAGCAATAGCTAGTTCAGCCAGCAGTTCAAAATTCTTTTTGTCATTGTTGTAACTTTTTACAACTTCTTTAATCCAAACTAGTACTGCAGCAGTACTGGACAAGGTTTGCAGAGCATATTTGACTCTTGACAATGCATCTGCTACTTTGTTTTCTTTTCCTTTCTTATATTCCACTGTGAATTTTGTAGCCTAAGAGTTTAATAAGCAGTTTGTGCTGAATACCTTCAGTAAGCTTCTTCTTTTGGATATGTTTAAGGCTCTGCTGATCAGTTGTTATTCTGATGGAGGAAGAGGCAAAGTAATGTTTCCATTGTTTAAGTGCTTCAATGATGGCCAGAGCTTCCTTGTCATAAGTGAACCGCCCTGATGCTTGTGGGCCCAAATATTTGCTTAGGAAAGCTATGGGTTGCCCTTTTGCATTAATACTGCTCCAATCCCATAACCAGAGGCATCTGCTTCCACGACAAAAGGAAAGGAGTAGTTAGGTAGTGCTAGGACTGGGGCTTGTGTTGTACTTGTTTTGAGAGTTTGGAAAGCCTGAGTTTGTTGACCAGACCAAGTAAAAGCATCTTTCTTCAATGCATCAAACAGAGGTCTATAGATAATTCCAAAACTCTTAATGAACCTTTTGTAGTATCCTGCCAGGCCCAAAAAACTCCTGAGCTGAGTTACATTTTCTGGTGTGGGTCATTGGGTGATTGCCTCAATTTTAGTAGGATCTGCGGAAACTCCTTCAGCAGAAATGGCAAAGCCCAAATATTCCACTTTCTGTTGTGCAAAAGTGCATTTGGACATTTAAAAGGCAAAAGAGGCTAGACAACTCGCTCACAAGGAGCTCCCCTGATTTCAACTTTCGTTGGTCGTTCGATCAGGGTCAACACGGTCTTTTTTTCACTGCTGATCGTTGGATCTGACTGGAAAACGTGCGTTGCCGTTTTGACTGTGCGGTGAAACCTGGACGGGGATGACCTGTGGGGTCGGGCAAAAGCGGATTGGCTGGGTGAAAGTTTTGTGGGTGCGCGAGCGGCCTCTCCTGCCGCGCCGCGTGCGCGCATCATGGGCACTGCCCAGTTTCTGGTTCGCTCACCTCTGGTTCGCCTGTTGGTGCGGCTGTAAATGAGCCTGCTTGCTATTTGGTCCCACATGTCGATCTGATGGCTGTAAGGCTGGTCACAATGGAGAGGAACTTAGGAGTAACATCACACACTCCAATACAATTTTGCTTATATGGCACATATTTAATAAAGAGAGAGGTGCTTGTGGTAACTAGCTAAGTTACCGGAACATCACACACTCCAAGAAACAATGAGTCTATAACCTAATAAATACATCGTTGCATGACACTACATAGATGTTCCTAACCACTATGAACGTAGTAACATAGTCTAGAAAAGTGTGTAAGTTAGCTTATGTTCTTGCCCATTGTGACCAGCGTAACTTTTTCAGACCTCTCGCAATGCATTGGTGCTAAAGTGGGGTGCTAAGTGCATTAAAATGCTTAGCAACTAATGTCCCCAATGCATTGGTGCTTAGGTTTTGTAGCTAAGCCTCCTCTATTTAATTGTTTAGCAATAAATCTCCTTCATGTATTGGTTGGTAGTCTTTTTGCCTAGGTCCACGTGCTTAGCATTGGTTCTTATTGGGGTCACCATAATACTCTCTCTCCTTTTTAAATGCTTTGCCACATCATATTTCTGCCTATGTGACATCTTTAGCACCTGTACACCGTGAAACACTGGGAATGTGCGCCTTGCCTCCTCCGTCGCG